TGGAAAATCCCCAGGCCGGAGTTCAGCACCCTCCCCCTTTCTGACTCGACTCAGTCTCGCCCCACCCCTAACCGCCCAGCACCCAGCGCAGCTGACAGTCCTGGAACACACTGGCCTCAGGGAATAGCTCAGGGGTTGAAGGTGGCCTGCCCTCCCCAGAAGCAACCCTCTCCTGCCTCAGGCTGCCCACACCCCATTCCTGACCTTCATTCCTCTCAGGGATGCCTCCCTCCGGCACACGGCACACGTATACCCTAACAAACACACCTGGATGCACGGAGGCACACCCACCCACACATCCATTCATACTCCCATTGTCCTGGCCTCACATACACACACCCCAACTACATCCGCACACTGACCAGCGCCTCCACAGAGCCACATACAGCTCACACTGAAGCACTCCTGGAGTTAGACTCAAGTCCTGAAATCTCTCATCCGGTCCCTGTCTGATCCATGCCTCTACCTCCCTCCTCAAGGACCTGGCTCCCTGTAACTTCTAAGATGTCTGTGGAAACCCTTTTCCCTGTGCAGTGGGGGGAAATGCCCCCTACCTCATGGGGCTGACCAAAAGCTGAGGTGTGCGTTGAGAAATGGTATGCATTGCTGACCTTGTCCTGTCCTTCCATTGTCTAACTGTGATCCCAGCTGTCCTCACTGAAGCCTGTCCCTGGGAGCATTCAGCCCCAAACCCACCCTCCTACCCAGCATAGTTGTCTGGAAACACCTTACAGTGGAGTAAGCAGCTGCAACAGAAATGATTGTATTTGCCTGCTGTTAACCACCCATGGCCCCTAGGAGATGCAGGTCTGGAGCCAGCCAAGCTTCTGGACTAGTTTCTGGACATTTCTAGAAGATCAGAAAGCTGCCAGGTTGACAGAGGTGTCTGAGAACTGAGGAGAGAAAGGAGAGGGGAGAGTGTGAGGAAGACAGCAGTCCTGGAAGCTCCACCGTTCTTAGAGTCACAGTTCCCCAGGCCCTCCTCTCTCAGACAATACACCCTCTATTAAGGCTCTCAGCCTTTAGGACGTCTGCCATCGAGACCCCACCATACTTTGAGGGTGGTATTTCACACAGGGTATGCCCCCTAGAGTGCCTCTGCAGGGCTAAGATGGGGGAAAACGAATGGCCCTGGTTTTCCCAACTCCCACCCTGCCAGGAGGCCCTTGGCTAACCTTGTGGCGGAAGGATCCACACACTGGTGGTGGTGGTAGGAGTGTTGTTGATATCTGTGGCCACAGTGGCAGGATTGGTGGCTGCAGGGGTGGCAGTTGGACCTTGGGGTTTCTGCCGGTACGTTCTGCGGCTACACTTGAACATCTTCGGAAATCGAGGCCGAGGCCAGCCTAGCCTTGGCCTACGGTAGGGGGAGCTTAGGCCCCGGGGCCGAGGGGCACGGACAGGCTGAGAAGGCCCCATGGGCACAGGAAGCTTCTGTAGTGTGCCAAGGGTGCGCCTGGACAGGGCAGCTGCAGCCTCTATGACATAGAGTCCACATAAGGGCGGTGCTCTTTTTTTATAGGTCTTGGTCCCCTGCCCCACCCCATGGGTCACAGTGCTCTCCATGGGTCCAGCCCAAGGGCCAGAAAAACCTCAGCTTGGCCCCTAGGGAAAAGGAACTCTGAGGAGGGGAAAATTACTTCCTGGCTTTCTCATTTACCCACATTGACAATATTAACAATGTTTCTTAAGCATTTACTGTGGTGCCAAAGAGCACCCAGTACTTTATAAACACTCTCTAATTAATCCCACAACAACCTTACTCTATCATTATTCCTATTTCATATAGTCAGTTCTCATTATTCACAGTAGTCCTAGTCTAATAGAGTCCCCACCACAAATAGCACATTAGCAAATGGAGCCAACGCTCCTACAGGGTTACGTTCCTATCAGCCTCTGGTCACATCGGCTATAAGGCCCATTGCAGCCTTCTTGTGCTCAGAGACACTAGATAGCACTTCAGCATTATTCAATAAACAGCAAAATCACCACCACAAGCACAAAAATGGGGAAAATGTGACACTGAATGGACCACAAGAACAGGTATACATTCTAAGAGGTCAAACAAGGAGGCAGAGAACCCTCCTATTCAGCTTCCTCTAAGAACATGGGAAGGAGGCAGCTCAACATTTTTGCAGCTCTGTGAATGTCTGTGAGTGACTGCAAAAGTGACATGAGGATTGGCGTGGGGTTACAAATAAATTCTAGTGAGTAGGTCAATTCACAGATATGGAAGATATGGAAGCCATGAATAATGATCAGCTATATAAGGAAACTGAGGCTCAGTTAGGTGAGGTCGCACAATTAGAGGCAGGCAGGGGTTCCAATCCCTGATGGCTACAGTCCAAAGCCCGGACATTTAACTCTTGCTGTTCTGCACTCATTTAATCATTCAATCATTCAGGAATTGTTCACTAACAACTTCATATGTGCTGGGCGCTGGGATCATAGATGGAGGTGACCTGGCTCCCATTCTTCCTGAGGGGAAAGAGAAAGCCATGAATTAGTGCAGCTGGAGGAACACCTAGGTCCTTAGGGCAACGTAAGTTGTGTCAACCCTTTCTTATAGCAGACAGGAATGTGAGTGGCTCAGCCAGGCCTTGCACTGAGTTGTTGTGGAGTGGTGGACATCTGCCCCCTCTCTCTTCCCTCTTACTCCACCTCCAGCCCTCCTTCCGAGCCTCCATCTTCTCTGTTCCTGTAGGAACTTGCTAGGAGATTTTGGGGTCCTCAGCACCATCCTAAAAGTCCTCACACCCCTTCCATCTTCTATTGCTATCCTCAGTCTTAGAAAATGGTCCTTGCTCCCATCAACTTCTAGGCATTGCACCTATAAACCCACTTGGCCTTGGCCATTTTCTTCCTCAAGTCCCAGACCAAGGCCTCCTCTCCTGTTCTTTCTGGAAGTCGGCTCCTCCTCACTTAGAGATCCCATCAGTATAGACAGTCTGCTTGGTGGTTAAGGTAGAGACTCTAGCATCAGACCAACTAGGGGTGAATCCTGGATCTGCCACTTACAAGCTGTGTCATCATGGAAAGTACTTGACCTTCCTGTGCCTATGTTTCCCCATATTTAAAAAGGGGAGAAAAGAGCATCTATCTCATAGGATTGTTGTGACAAGGGGGTTAAAGACCATATATGTAATGCATTTAAAATATGATCTACACAGATATTAGTGTTATTGGCCCCTTATCTCAAGTTTTTTCAGCTGTTTCCTCCCATTATAGAAAACAAAAATTAGGGGCGCCTGGGTGGCTCAGTCATTGGGCATCTGCCTTTGGCTCAGGTCATGATCCCAGGGTCCTGAGATAGAGCCCTGCATCAGGCTCCCTGCTTAGGGGGAAGCCTGTTTCTCCCTCTCCCTTTGCCCCACTTGTATTCCCTCTCTCACTGTCTCTGTCAAATAAATAAATAAAATCTTAAAAAAAAAAAAATTAATGTCAACTACATTTACATTTTTAAAAATTTTTTTGAAGATTTTATTTATTTATTTGACAGAATAGAGACATTGGGAGAGAGGAACACAAGCAAGGGGAATGGGAGAGGGAGAAGCAGGCTCCCCGTTGAGCAGGGAGCCCAATTCAGGGCTAGACCTGAGGACCCTGGGATCATGACCTGAGCCGAAGGCAAACACTTAATGACTGAGCCACCCAGGCGCCCCTAAATTTTTTTTTTAAAGTCCACTTCATCCATCTCACACCCCCTCTCCACACTCTGACCTTCCCACTCTGTGGTCATTCCTGTTTGTCCCAGAGAAAATCTTATTTAAGGTCTTATTTAAGGGGTGCATGGGTGGCTCAGTGTGATCTCTCTCTGTCAAATAAATAAATAGAATCTTTTTTAAAAAATAAAATAAAATCTTATTTAAAATCCCTATAGGGTGCCTGGGTGGCTCAGTGGGTTAAACCTCTGCCTTTCACTCAGGTAGTGATCTCAGGGTCCTGGGACTGAGGCCCAGATCAGGCTCTCTGCTCAGCCGGGAGCCTGCTTCCCCCTCTCTCCACTGGCCTCTCTGCCTACTTGTGAGCTCTCTCTGTCAAATAAATAAATAAAATCTTTAAGTTCCCTATAACTATTTTCTTATATAGACCAGCCTGAGCTTAAAATCAATCCTAAGAAATCCACACGGCCCCCCCAAACCCCGCCCCAGGTCGCACAGCTAAGCAGCAGCAGAAGTAACATGGAAGTACCTGGTCTGAATGACTCCAAAGCCAGAACTTCCCTAGCACCTCGATATCCGGAGCACTGGAGTGGAAAGGAGGACCGGCAGTGGAAAGAGACAGGCGGGGGTCCAAGCGAAGCTGTTGAAGGGGTCACACTGGGACTGCGGAGTCTTACAAGTGGGGGTGATGCTTTTGTGGGATCATGGCGCCACCTGCTGGCAGAAAGGAAAGGGGTGCTGGACGCCCATTGCTAAGAACACTGGATGGGGGGAAGCAAAGCCTGGGGAGGGAGATGGGTAAGGAGGAAAGAGGAAGGGAGGAGAAAGATGGGGAAATTGAGATTCTGTAGAAGGAAGAGGACCAGAAGTCATTTGCTCCTCAGAGAAGGGGGTAGAAGCTGCTAAACCTGGGTCATTTCCTTGCAGAGACGGGGAGACAGACTTTAAGTATGTCCCTCTGAGGTTGCTTTGTGGTTTCTCAGTTGCTGGGAGTCAGTGCACACACAGCACAGAGTGCGTGTGCACTCATAGGCACTCATGGGCACTCGTGGGCACTCATGGGCACTCATGGGCACGGCTAGGTGTTTGTGTGTGGATCTGTGGGTGCCTCCATAGACGGCTGCTTGGGTAGATGAGTGGGCCCGGGAGCGCACGGGGTATGGAGGAATGGATCTGCAGGCCAGAGCCTCTGTGGTCGAGGGCGCGTGAGGTTCGAGGTTCTGGAGGCCACTTGTTTACCCTCCCACTTCTCTTCCTCCTTCGGATCAGGAAGGGTGTTACTGTGGTTGGCGTTGCCAGGCCGACAACAACGAGGCCTGCGGCTCCGGTGGCTATGGGGACAGATCTCCAGGCAGCAGGGGGCAGCAGGGAAGGAAGAGGTTGGCTGGCTGTGGGGTTGGGCGGGCAGGAAGGTGAGCCCAGGACTTTAAAAAGGCTGCCCCGCCTGCAGGTGAGCTGTGGAGCGGGAGAGCCAGCCCCGTCTCACTGCCTGCCCACTGGAGTGGCAAATCCCTTGCATAGGCTGTCCCTTCTGGAGCCTCAGCAGAGCCTTCCTTCAGAACTACCAAGAGCCCTGAACAGGTGATGGCACAGGATTGAGATCATCCTATGAAGTAAAATCAACCTGGAAACGGGTTTGGGAAACTGGAAGGCCAATGGGGGAGGGTCCTGAGAGCCTAGGGTTGGTTTGATGGAGGGGTCCAGGATATATCAGGGTGAGGGAAGGGCGTGGAGTGACCTATGGTGTGGGAGTTGGGCTTGGGGTGCCTGTGGAGAGAGCTGGGGGATCAGTATCCCAGTGTCGGGTGCTGGGAGAGGACCTGGGCCCTACAGAGAGGCAGGGGTGTCAGGATAGGACTTTGGAGAAGCCCTGAGGGGTCAGAGGCTAGATGTAGGAGAAACGGGGTGATTTAGGGGTCCTGGATGCTGGAATCTGGTATGGCAGGTTCCCAGTGCAAGGGCCGGCCCAGGTAGTAGCAGAGGTGGGCAGCAGGAATCCCTAACTCCCACTTGTCTGCCTCTCAGGAGCCACCATGCAGTGTTTCAGCTTCCTTAAGACCATGATGATCCTCTTCAATTTCCTCATCTTTGTAAGTATGGGAGTTGTGGGCTGTTCGGGCCTCCCTATGGGAGGGGATCACAACCACAGCAGAGCCCAAGCTGGGAAACGGGAGATTGCTGGGCCCAGACTCTGTTGCACACTTTTCCCATTCAGATAGAGTGCAGAAGTCTCCCCCAAATTCTGAGTCCTGGTCTCAGGAGCAGCCTGGCTGCCACAGTTGGGGTAGAAAAGCTTAGGAGAAGCTCCTCCCTACCAGGAAGCTTCAGACCCAAATTAGGGCAAGGTGGGATAGGCTAACAGGAATAATTGCCGCTGTTTCATGGCATTGGGGGCCCAGGGAGGGGGGAAGAGTTTTCCCATGCTTACCTGGTGTACAAGGAAATTTAGTGGCTCTGTAGAACAGATGGGGAGTTGAAATGAAAGACGCCCGGAGACCTCAGAGCAGAGATCAAGAAACACTTATTCATTCAACAAACAGTTATTGCCTAAGACTCTGTGCTAAGTGCTGGGGGAAAGGTGAGTGAGCCCTTTCTCTGCCCCTGAGGATCTCAGGTCCAGCAGGCCAGGTAGACAGTTGCAACATATAATGTCTGGCCTTAGCACAGGGGCTATAGGAGACCCCATGAGGGACTTAAACCCTGGTCTGAGAAGACTATCTGGAGGAAACAGCTGTGGCTGGGCATTTGCGCTGGGTGAAGGGGTTGTAAAGCATGCAAAAAAGGCCCAAAGGCAATGAAATCAGGTATTGTTCAGGAAACCAGGAACAGAGGAAACTGAGTAATGAGGCATGACCCTGGAGATGACGGTGGAGACGGGAAAAAATGGATGAAGGACAAAGCCCTCAGATGGCGGCTGAGGGACGGAAGGAGGGGTGAGGGAAACAGAAGCTTTGAAGATAAAGCCCATGTCTCTGGTCTGAGCAACCCAGGGGATGTCCTTCAGGCAGCTGCATACCCAATGGGGTTGCAGCTCCGGTTGGAGCTGGACATGGATGTTTGGAAGTCACAGGACCACAAACAGTCAGTGAAACCATGGGAGTGGGGAAGAGCACTCAGGCCAAGTGAGTTCTGCAAAACCCAACTTACAAAGAGTATGTGGAGAAATGGTCACCTGGAAGCAGCTAGAGAAAGAGCAACAAGAGGAAAACAAGGAGCCCACGATCTCAGAGAGGTCAGAAGGGTCTGGCTCATGAAGTGTCTACCCGATTTAGTGCAGGATGCCACCACAGATCTTGGAACTACATTAGAGGGGCTTACAGTGAGTGGAAGGTGAGGAGGTGGAGACATGACCCATAGAGAGATTTGGAGAAATTGGGCTGCGGGTGTGTTACCGCTCAGATTCTGATATGGTGCATGCTTTGGGCCTCTTTTGGCTTCAGGGAAGTAGGCTTTGACCATGTATCTGGAGAAGGCAGGGGGATCCCAGCAATATGGAGAGGCCCGAGGGGGTTAAAGGCAAATCCGGTTTGGTTTCTGGCCTCTGTTGCTCAGGCTTTGCCTGGCTGGGCAAGGCAGGGCAAGTCTCAGGCTCCTTGAAATTTGACCCTGTAGGCTGGGATCCCAGCCCTCTATCCTTGGGCAAACATGCCTGGGATCCAGCCACAATCTGGCATCTCATTCCTGGTTCTAGCCTCAGTTTCTACAGCTGGGGACTGGACAGCTAGGTGGAATCAGGCTGATTTATCCACTGGTGCCTGGATCACTGAGGCTTTTCTCTAAAAGCCATGGCATCTGGACGGTACCTCCCCCTGATCTGGGCCTCTGAATTCCATGAGGTTTGGGGTTGAGCCAGAGAGCCTCTGAGAGCAGCCGCAACGGCACTCCCTCCCTTGTGCCTCAGTTTTCCCTGTGAGGTAAGGTGAGGTCTAGGTTAGATGAAGGGCAGGCCTGGAGTTTGATCCTGGAGAGCCCCAAGGTAGGTGTCCCTTTTCACGGAGTCCCCCTCCAGGGTTGGTAGCAGGTGTAAACCTCAGCCCCGCCTCTGTTACTATGGTGACTGTTGAGCCTGTTGTGGCTTCCACCCCACTGTTTCACCTGTCCCAGAACAGAGGCAGTCAGCTCAGCAAGGAAATGGGGTAGGGCCCCCCTCACCCCCCATCTGGCCTCACTCACTTGTTTTCACTCCTAGCTATGCAGCAGTACCCTGACAGCAGTGAGGGAAAGTCTTGCCTTGCCCTCCCCCATTCTGTGGATATTTCTAGAACCCACGATTCCATTTATATTGTGCAGCCTGGTGCTGGCTTTGGGTGGCCCAGCTCCCATCCTTCTGGCTCTACAGAATGTTTTTCCTCCCTACAGGATGAGTTTTTAGACTCCTTAGCCAATAAAGGGAGAAATTTCTCATTTTCCATCTTCCTATCTCAAATGAGTGGTAAGGAGCTGCGTGCCCACACCGTTTTAAGGCCTGACTCTCTGTCCCCAGCTATGTGGTGTCGCCCTGTTGGCCGTGGGCATCTGGGTGTCGATCGACGGGTCGTCTTTCCTGAAGATCTTCGGGCCGCTGTCGTCCAGTGCCATGCAGTTCGTCAACGTGGGCTACTTCCTCATCGCTGCCGGTGCTGTGCTCTTCGCTCTCGGTTTCCTGGGCTGCTACGGTGCTCAGACTGAGAACAAGTGTGCTCTCATGATGGTGTGTCAAACCCAGCTCCCCGGGCCCATAACCAAGACCCAGGGTCCCCTCACCCTTGAATCCAGGCCCTGGAGATCCCCAAGCCATGCTCTGGACTCCAGGGCCCTCGGCAGAGGGGGCCGCTGCCTTGCCATACTGGGTGGTGGGTTGCAATAGGTAAGGCACAAGGGACCACCTCTTTCCAAACTCAGACCTCTGGTCCCTTATTCAGTTCTTCCTGATCCTCCTCCTCATCTTCATCGCGGAGGTGGCAGCTGCTGTGGTCGCCCTGGTGTACACCACCATGGTGAGGAGCAGGGGACAGGGCAAGGGGGAAAGACAGGGAAGAGCCCTGCAAGTGGGCTGTGGCCCCCAGGGCCCTGAGCACCGGCCTGCCCCACCCAGGCTGAGCACTTCCTGACGTTGCTGGTAGTGCCCGCCATCAAGAAAGACTACGGTTCCCAGAAGGACTTCACCCAAGTGTGGAACACCACCATGGAAGGGGTAAGGTGGGCTGGGGGACATTTTGGGGTGGGGGGAAAGAGGCAAGGCCCCGCTGACCACCCTTCCCTCCTCCTCTTCAGCTCAAGTGCTGTGGCTTCAACAACTACACAGATTTTGAGGGCTCTCCCTACTTCATGAAGAACCATACCTTTCCCCTGTACTGCTGTGCCGACAACGGCAATGGCACAGCTATAGAACCCTGCACCGAGGAGAAGGCTAAGGACAAGACTGTACAGGTGTGGTATGGAAGGTTGGGGGCTGCTTTAATGGCCACAAAGTGCTGAATGAGGGAGGGGTGCAGCGGCTGACTGTGGATGCTCTCCCCTCTCCCCCAAGGGCTGTTTCAGCCAGCTTCTGTATGACATCCGGACCAATGCTGCCACTGTGGGTGGTGTGGCAGCTGGAATTGGGGGCTTGGAGGTAACAGGGTGAGGAGGGTGGGGCAGGGTAACCCCACTAGACCAGGGTGCTTGACCCATCTTGGAGGCCTTGCTGGAGGAGAGACTTCTGGTGGGGTGTCTAGGAGGCGGGGGACTAAAGCATAAGGGCCCTGATCACATCCCTCACCTCTGCCGGTTCCTTTCCCATCAGCTGGCTGCCATGATCGTGTCCATGTATCTGTACTGCAACCTGAAATAGTCTGCTTCTACCTCCGCCGCCGCGGCTTCCACCCACGAATCTGGGAGGGCACCCTGGCACTGCCAAGCAGCAGTGACTGGGGTGGGGACAGGATCCAGCAGTGTCACTTGGGCCAGAGAGGGCTGGCCTTGCTGCTCTGGACTTGGGGCCAAAGAGGGGACGGCCGGCTTCAGGCTGTGCCTGACTTTTCCTTCCATGGGAGGGGGTGGGGGGACAGAACCTCTAAGGTGCCAGTTCTCCTGCCCATACTTCCAGTCTGTCCCTCAAACCCTTGACACCCTGTGGCACAGGGGTGCTCTTGGTGATCCCTGCAGCCTCTGGGAGATGAGAGAAAGATACCCCATCGCACAGGCATATGTAAAACCGGCAGGCACCAGGCGGAGATGTAGAAGGCACAACAGAACTCATCACCCAATTAAAATGTCTCCATTCGGAACTTTCTGTGTATCCTTGGAGAGGCAGGACGCCTTGCCTCAGATTCCTGAGGGGCTGATGACTCACAAGGCCCCTGTAAAAGCCTCAGAAGAGAAGTAGGGTGGAGGTGGGTGCCTGTTTCTCCTTCCCTTGAATTCCAGGCCTGGGAGGGAGCCTAACAGGGATGACCAGGAGGTCACTCAGGGAGGACATGGGGGCTGGGCCAGTCTGCCTTCCTATAACATGTGAGGACTTTGGCCTGAAACCACCCCCCTCCTGAGTAGGGGCAATGGACTGGAAAGCTATGAAAATAACAAGGCTTTGCCCAAGTGGGGGCGGAGTTACCAGAAATACTGCCAAGGCAATGGGACAGGGTCACTTCTTAGGATCTGGAAGTCCTCCAGAAGCTACCATCAGAGGATCCAAGCTGTCCACCCTTCTCACTGGGGCAAAGCCCCACACCTGTCCCTGCCTTGGGGATTTTAGAAAGAACTTTGTTTATTCTTCGTTCTGGCTTGCCTCTGGGACTCTACAGATCTGATCTCTTATTTAATTTTACCCCATGCTCCAGAAACTGGGCCTAGAAAGCCCAAGTGACTTATTCCACATCTACAACCTTCCCTGAAGAGTTGAGCCTTGATTTGGGCCCAGGCTCTCTGACTCCAGGGCCTGGTGGGGTCCTGGCTGGTGTGGGATCAGATTTACTTGAAAGCCAGAAGATCCCAGACATAGATCTGATAGCTGCTGAACCAGGACTGACATCACGAACGAGGGAGGCTATGACCAACAAGACCCAGGTTGGCAGACCGTGCTCCTCCTTGCTTCCCTTTGACCCCTGATTTTTCCTCCATGGCTTTTCCAGGGCAGCCCAGAACTATTTACTATCCCCTGCTGAGCCCAAGAAGGAACAACAACCTGGCCAGGGCCACACACAGTGCCTGAGAGTTAGTCTGAGGCCTAGATCAGAAGCCTACTGGGGGTGGGGGGCTGGCAGGGAGAGCAAGTCGCCACTAGTCCCTCTCCCCGCTTCAGCACCTGACCTCTCTCACACACCAGGTGCCTACACAGAGGCTGTAAGGGATTTGTTTGCCCAGGGCGGGGACTCTACCTAATCATGGGCTAACTTCCCCTCAACCTGGCTGTTGGGGCACCTGAAGCACTAGCTCTATCTCCAGTAAACACTGAAGGCGTCAGGGTGGCGACAAATGGTCCAAGCAACACACCACCTGTGCCACCTATGCCATCAGGGAGCTGGGCTCCAGGCACCAGTGGGTGTGGGAGGGGTGGAGTTGGTGAAAAGGCGGGGGTTCTAGACAGTTCCTGCCTCCCTGGCCAAGGCTCTCTATAAGGAGCTCACGAGGCTCACCTTGAAAGGACTCTGCAAGCTGACCCCTTCTCAGGAGGCGTGTTCTACACTCAGCTTCCTGATCCCAAGTCCTGGACAGATCCCTTAAATGTCCTGCCCCCTGCCTTAGTGCTTTCTCATCCACTACCTCCAGAAAATCGCATTCATTTCCTGGTGCTTCCAGGGCTATCTAAGTTATATCTTCCTCATCTCTTCAGGTCACTGGTTAGGTGAGAATCTTAGGTGAGAATCTGATGAAAACAATGGTTTCTCTCTAGAAAAATGCCTAGATATGGAATCTGCACACGGAGTACCCTGCCTGAGGGCCACAGATCCTTGCTCCTGTAACTCTATCCGCAACCCAGACCCAGCCTCCTGAATAATGCCGGCCCAGTTCAGTCCGCTCCCCCAACCTTCCTTTCAATCCCCACTAGACTCACCTGCTCTCCCATCACCTCCCTCATCCCCCAAGCATCTCTTTTTACTCTCCTGCTCCATCTTTGGGGATAGGTACCTGACCAGACAAGCTAGGCGAGAATAAAGCTCCGTAGGGAAGGGGTTTGGGGTGGCTGTTCTAAGCTCAGCCCCAAGTAGGGTGCGGCTAAGGTCAGGCTCTGTTGTCCTAAGGTGGAGCTTAGGGGAAAATCTTGGGAGTTTGAGACTTGGGCATCCCCTGGTGGCCAAATGGCCCCAAACGAAGCTAAACCCTGTGGAGGACAGTAAGGAAAACTATCATGACCATTCACTTTCCTATCTCTCTTTCTCTCTCTCTCTCACACAAATGCCCCCACCCCAAACCACCTCACACATAACCATAAAACACATCCCCGGAGGTTTTCTCCTTTTTTAATCAATGACCACCTTATCCAGCTTTGGAAATCTGGACAAAGGGGAGGCTGAGAAGAGGCCTGGTTCCGTGTCTGAGGGTCTCTGAGTGAGTCTGTGGCAGCAGGCTGGGCCCCAGCGGGCCTGTCCGTGGGTTGGGCACAGCAGGTTCCTGAGTAAGAGCCAGCCCCATCCCCAGGGCAGCACCCCAGCCGAGAAAGGATTCCAGGCCCTCTGGGTTTCAGCCTGTTCCCAAGGCCCTCAGGACAGTCAATAAATAGGTTAGATTCTGAACCAGGCCTGGGAGGAGGGAGTGTGCAAAGGGCAGGATCAGCTGCCCAGGGACCCCAATGATTCCCAGGTACTATCCTGGCCCTTCCCAACAGGGAAGTAAATAAATAGACCTCCAACTCAGGTACAGGGGCGTTGGAGCAGGGGAAGCCTCCCCTTTGAGTTAGTAATTAAGTCTCATGTTAAAAACAAGCCAACCCAGACCCCTACCAGTGTCTACAAAATCCTACAGGATGGGGTGAAGGGCTAGCCTGCCTGGGGGTACACAGTACCCAGCCCTGCAGGGTCCTGGAGGAGGTCTCATGTCTGTTCTGCGGCTCCTGGGGCTCCCTCTTCCTTTGGGGGTGGTTCCAGGAAAATTGGGGTGATTGATGGTGGCTTCTTCACCCTGGGAAGATAATTTGAAAATGTATAGGGAAGAGGTAATTAGCTATGTCCTCTAATCCCATTAGTCTCCCATTTCCCAGGGCAGAAAAGAGTCACTCACGAGTAGGGGGAGGCTGGGACGCCCACCACCAGGAAGTGATTCTTCTTTCGAAATAATCTCCACAGGCCCCGGTGGTTGCCACGCACATCCAGGTCCCAGATATGGAGGCACTGGTAAAAGCCGGGTAGGGGGAGAGGCAGTGGTCAGAGAGCTTCGGGGAGCGGGCATTGAGGACGCTTGGCCCAACCCCCCACCCCTCCTCAACAGTCTCCTCAATTTGCAAGATGTAGCATCTTCTAGAATATGGAAATGGACAAAGGGGTTGGAAGAGGGGTTCCCAGAGTATGAAGAGAAGGTTCAAGGGTAGAAGATGATCCCAGAACAAAGGCTCCCTATATCTGGTGGGGAGGAGTAAGCATGGGGTGGGTGTATTGGTGGGGCACCTTGGCAAGCTGGGTCCAGGTAGTGAAGTCATCATCTTTCTCCATTCGGATGAAGGCCACATAGGTGTGGCCCTCTGTATCTGGCAGGAAAGAGTCTTCACAAGGGTTCTTGCTGTGGTCTAGAACCTCAGCCTCACTGTAGCAGGGGGTAGGGGAGAAAGGCCAAGACAGAGCCTGTGTCACAGGTGGGTACCCTAAGACCCCATGCTTAGTTTAATGCTCTGCTATTGCTGTCATGAAATTCTTAATCTTTGAACAAGGTGCTGATTTTCATTTTGCAGTGGGCCCCAAAATTATGGGGCCAAGACACCCAATATTTGCCTCCTCACTCCCTGCCATATATCCCTACTGGCAGAGGACATACCTGAGCAGCCTGTGAATTTCCACTTCATAAGCTTCCTTCTTCAGACTGAAGGAGAAGGAAAAATGGGTCAGGGGAAGGGGTCACCCTTCAGGTTCCAGGGGCGAGGCAAAGGATCACATGGGTACTGGGTGGCAGCAGGGCTGGGGTAAAAAAAACAGGCCCCACGGCTGGAAGGGAATACTGGGGATTGGTCATCAAGGCTCCCAGACATCTTCCCCTTTGCCCTGTCCCCAGTCCCCACCTGTCCACGTTCCTGAGCTGGACACCTGGAACTGTGTTGAACTTGTGCTTCTTGAAGTAGGCCTCCTGTAGTGGGTGTGAAAGTAAGCATCAGGCCTTCCACGGTCAGGCCCACACCTGCCCACTGACCACATACCCACAAGGCCCACAGATGAAGCTCTGGACCCACAGAGGTCCCTCTAACCCGCCCCCTCCCAGCCTCTCCTGTCTTTCCCATCCTCTTCTTTGTCACATCCTCGACAGGCTCTTACTAGCTTTAGTTTGGGCTCCACCATTGCTAGAGAGCTCAGGCCCATACCAGCAGCTCGTGCTACTGACCCCTGAGCTAGTCCCTGCTCCCAGTAGTTGCCCTGGGGTTTGCTGCTGTAGGGCCCCAGAAGCCAGAACAGGCCCTACCAGGCATGGTGGGCAAAAGAACAGGCTGTGCTGAGAGGAAGGAAAGTGCTGTGACTAAGGTACTGACAGTGACCTCAGGTAAACGCCTACCCCTCTCTAGGAGATGACTGGGATCTTGTATAAGCCAGCCTCTCAGGGTCCTTCTGGCTTCTTGGAGGTTCCAAGCCATCCATCTGTTCCTTTGGGCCGGGTTGTCTCAAAGCGTACTCTTGCTGTAACTGGGGAGTGGCCCTTTGGACAAGCCAGGTAAGGCATGGGGGCCTGGGGACATCCCTGTTCACTTCAGGCAGAGGCCTGAGCCCCCACATTTGCAAGGACAGGAGAGGGCAGAGCTGGCAGGGCTATGTAAGTGTCTGGTGGCAGAAATACCCTCCCCACACCGGCAGTCTGACACTAAGAATAGTA